AACGAAATATAGGGATGAATAAGAGTTTCTTCCTTTGTTTTGTTAGCTAAATAAAAATAACAATCCTCATTTTTTTTCCTTACACTTCTGTCTTTAACTTTTATTATCTATTTCTCAAATATAATTTTAATATTATTTATGTGTTTATTTAAAAAATATTATACTTATTGAGTTGCGAGACACGTGCATCGTGCATGCGTTAGATTTATATATTTATATTGTATTAAAAATGAAAAGGTTAAATTAGTAAAATTTCTCTTATTTAGATAAATATCTTACATATTAAATCTCTTATTTATATTCTACCCTTTTATTTTTCTGTACATATACTATCTCCTCTCCCCTCCATCATCACCATGGCCACCTTTCCTTTTTTTATCATCTCTCTCTTTCTAATTGCACTCAACTTGCTCATTTTAATTATTTTTAAAAAAATCAATATCCTTCCACGTGGACCAATAGAAGAGTGCCACGTGGATCTTTATAAAGGCTTACATAGTCCGTTAGTCAATCGTTAGTCTTAGGGATATTTTTTAGCCAAAATATAACGTTGAGAACATTTGTGATCCTATAGATAGAAGAAGGGTATTTTTAAGCCAAATCCAATAGGATAGGAGCATTTTTGGCCCTTTTCCGTTGTTCATTTTATAGGTTCAAAGAATATATTGAAACATCTTGACCTCGAGAAATAAGTCACCATATGTTGATCCATATTAATCATTTAGAGAAACTTATATTTTATTCTTTCATGTATTACTCAAAGTTTTATTTTAATAATTTTAATATTTATTTTACAAATGTACTATATGATTCAGTTTCCATGTGCGACACACGTGCGAAAAAACTAGTTATATTATAAGTGGGAAGTCCCAAAAGAAAAAGTTGAATTACCAAAATGGCCATAAGAATTTGGATGGCTTTTTTGCCCTTCCAAAATCCTAATAACTATTCTGCTTTTAAAGCACAAAAATGTAATTTTAAATAATGATTGTTGAATTTTAAGGTCTAACTTGGAGTGCCAGGAAAATTTATGATTGTTCCATCAATATTAAAAATACGTTCAATGTACACAATGTTCTTTGAGGATGTGTCTATTACTTTTTGTGGGAATTGATTATGAATTATGTGGAAATTAATAGTTCCATTTTAATACAAAAAATATAGGGGATTGAAGTGTCGGAGGTTAATTACGTTTGGAAAAAGGGGGAGACAAATAGCCAAGAATTGTTTGGATTAGTTTTTGTGGCTTTATAATCTCCTTTCATGGGAGTTCATTCATTTCTTTGCAATGATATATTTAGATAAGGGACCTTTCTATAGCAAATTCAGTATCATTATAGATATATACATGTGTTAACAAGAGTGGGACATAAAAACTAAAAAAAAAATTAAAAAAAAAAAGAGAATAGTGTGACATGGACTTTCTATAATACGATTTGATTCATCAAGAAAGAGAATAGTATGGAAAGTTAGACCTACTATGTCATAACTCATTTTCCGAAGGTAAGAATAAGAACAGGCGCTTAACCGAGAGTACTAAAAATTCTTTGGACACAGAACGAAGTTCCTGTATCTTGTACATTTTGGAAGCATGGAAATGAAAAAATCTTTTAATGCTTATGCTTGATGTTTGAGGACTTCCAGTGGTTTCCTTTTTTGCTTTTTTGATAAACATATTTGTAGGATGACTCGTGGATTCAATTTGTGTAAATGCAAAGTTAATTGTTCTCTGTCTTTTGTCTTTACGTTTTTTATCATATTTTATCAACCACTCTAATTATAGTTTTTATGTGATATTAGTATTTGATATATTGTTATTTCACATAATATCTTCACATTTTCTCAAATTTTTATATTTAAATTCTTTATTTATTTGTTATTTTTATTTATTTATTTCTAAATTTAAGTACTAGACAAAGATATTGCTGTCTAAGCTAATTATCATTTCTCTAATAAAATTAATTACTTAGACTAATTATTTGATAATCACTTTCTTGATTATCAAAAGAATAAATCGGTAACAACTTGCCAGCCGGTAATAGCCGAAGGCAAAAAAAGGGGAGATAGGGAAGAGGAGATTAAGGATAGTCACTCCACTCCATAGATAGTGCACACAGATTCTTCATTCATTTTTCATTCCTTTCGGGTCCGAAACGCGGGCTGCTAAATGCTAAGTTATTAATCTACATAAATTTCGTATCTATTTTTTGGATTATTGGGGATAAACATGGTTCTTTTTTCCTTTTCTTCTATGACATTATCCCATAAAGGGAGCCCTATTGAAAATTCTCAACTTTCAATGCTGAAGTTAGGTAAAAACCCCTAAACCCAATATCATCTCCTCCCCGGTCCTTTCCATCCTCACCCCAATAAAGTCTCTGCCACCCTCCGCCGCCAAGGTCGGCCGTGCCACCATAGAGAAGGCAGTGAGCGCCCTCCTCAAATGGAAAGAATCCCAGTCCAAAACCAGAAAGCCCAATTGCTCCCATAAGACGACTTCATCTACCTCAACCTCACTCTCAAGAAATCCCACCAAAGCCTCGTACCAACACTTTCAGAATCCCTTTCCCTAACCCTATTCACGATCCTTCCTCCTCCGAGCTCTGCCTCATCATCGACGACAGACCCAATTCCAAACTCACTTCGGACGCCGCGAAAAAGATCATCAAATCCCAAAACATACCCATCAGTAAAGTCATTAAGCTCTCGAAGCTTAAAACTAACTACAAACCCTTTGAGGCAAAAAGAAAGCTTTGTGATTATTACGACCTTTTCTTGGTCGATAGGAGGATTGTCCATTTGCTTCCTAAGCTTTTAGGGAAGCAATTTTTCAAGAAAAAGAAACTGTCTTTGCCATTGAATTTGACACACAAGAATTGGAAGGAGCAAGTGGAAAGGGCTTGTAGGTCCGGGTTGTTTTACTTGAGGACTGGGACTTGTTGTGTGATGAGGGTTGGTAAGGGTTAAATGGAGAGTGATAAAATTGTGGAGAATGTGGTGGAAGCAATAAAGGGTGTTGTTCAGGTGGTTCCCAAGAAATGGGACGGTGTGAGGAGCTTGCACTTGAGGCTTTCTGATTCTCTTGCATTGCCTTTGTATCAAGCTTTGCCTGATATCAAGCTCAAGATTGAGGGGTTTAAGGATAAACAAGCCGAAGAAGAAGTGAGTGGTAGTTTGGTTGAGGTTAAGGAGAGTGAAAAGAAAGCCGATGAGGGGTCAGGGAATAATTTAGAAGGGGAAGAAGAATAAAGGGAGGATTCATGAAGTTAGGTATATGGACTTTGACACTGGTGTAGATGAATTGGAGAGTGATGATTGTATAGGGTGAAATATGATATGACACGTGGACGTCTAAAGAGAGGACACATGGAACCCAAGACAGGAATGACCGAAGACCAAACGCATACATTCCGCTTGTCACCGGAAAGGATAACGTTCATAAGGATGTGTTAAATACTCTACGCCCGGTAGTATTTAATAGGGAATATTCTGCAGCATTAAGAGCGACAATCCGTTATAGAAAATTTGACATTTATGTTACTATTACATCTTCATCAATGACCCTCATAATTAATATTAAAGGAGAACATGATCCTAGGACTTTCTTCCCTAGATATAGCTATAAATAGTGAGCTCAGTTATCATTGTAAGGGAAACGAATTTTCTGGCTAAACCTGCACTCTATTCTATACAAAACTTTATACAATTTTACTTTCTTGCTTTTTGTTCTCATCATCGCTGTGCCCGGAAATACTGTTCCAGGAATTGTCATCTCTACTGTTTTCATTTATATTTCAAGGCTAAGTATTATATATTTTTTTAATTATTGTATTATTTCAGGATCAAATTAATTCACTTATCTAGAAACCACGTATAAATTCAACTGTACCATTTTACGGGTAAATAGTTTGGCGCCCACCGTGGGGCCTAGACAGCCGTGCAATTAAATTGATCCTTGACTTTTTTACTAACACGATTTTATTATTTTGTCTTAGAAAAAATCATTAAAAATGGCAAATAACATTGTTAATGACACGCACAACCCTGAAATTCGAGAGGATCAGCCTCATTTTGAGGATTCAATCAGTGACACCCACAATGAGGAGAATGACGTCACGCCGGTGCATGACAGGCAGTACCCACGATAGGTTCGGGATACAACTCCCGATGATGCTAATGAGGAACATGTCGTGGATGCGATGAGGGTCCTGCGAGAGCAACATGCAATCATTCTAGGCCATCTCACGCGGCAGGACCAGGTTATGACGGAACTGAAGCAGGAACTATCAGGGGTTTCGAATAATGCAAACAGACGAGATCCAATTCCTCCCGTTGTTCCCACAAACCAAACAATGCATAGAGTCGATAACAACACTCCCAAGGGTAAAGTTGGCTCCAACGGGACTGGCAGGAGTAGATCCGGTCTCAACAACGAAAATGATCCATTCAAGAATGAACTTTTACGGTTCATGAGAGAAGTGAACACCCACAAGGACCAAATCCCGGGCGCGCCACCAGTATTAAAAGGCTCGAACTCGAAGAAGTATGTTCAATTACCATACAAGCCAAGTGCGACACCCGAACTAATCCCGAAGCGGTTCAAAATGCCTGAAATTCCAAAGTATAACGGAACTTCAGACCCACAGGAGCATATTACTACCTATACAATGGCTGTGAAAGGAAATGATTTAGCTCCTCACGAAATTGAATCATTGTTGCTAAAGAAATTTGGAGAAACTCTCACGAGGGGAGCTCTAACATGGTATTCATTATTACCCAAGCATTCCATAGATTCATTCGAGATTCTCGCAGATTCTTTCATTAATTCTCATGACGGGGCCAGAAAAGTGCAAGCCCGGAAGGCCGACATATTCAGGATCGCACATGGAGAATCTAAATTATTACGGGAGTTTGTTACTCGATTCCAGAAAGAAAGAATGTTGCTCCCGGCTGTCCCGGATGAATGGGCAGCTGAAGCATTCACCAAAGGATTGAATCCAAGAAGTTCAGACGCTTCCCGGAAGCTGAAGGAGAGCGTGCTTGAGTTTAAATCAACAACTTGGGCAGATGTAAACAACCGGTATGAGTCGAAGATAAGGATCAAAGATGACCAGGTGGATTCTACATCATCGGCCAAAGGACAGGAGAAAAGCAGAGAAAAATCAAAGGATGACTAAGACGCGGATAGACGAACTTTGAGGGGCCATTTTTTGCCCTACGAGCGGACCGAAGGTCGTGGCCGAAACTTTCAGGCAGCAAACAAGTTCATCGCTGACAGAGGGACCGATCGTGATCAAAACAATAGATCACTCCAAAATAAGGAGACGTCCGGGTCTCGGTATCCCTCTTACCCCAAGTTATCGGAATATAACTTCAACGTCAGTATAGTGGAGTTGGTGTCAGCCATGAGAAACATTAAAGATGCACGATTCCCAAGACCTATGAGATTCGATTCCATCCAGAGAGATCCCAACTTATGTTGCGAGTACCATGGGACGAACAGTCACCGGACAGGGGACTGCTGACACCTCCGAGAGGAGGTGGCAACATTATTGAAGAATGGTCACCCCAAAGAATTCTTGAGTGACCGAGCTAAGAACAATTATGGTCGTAACAGAGACAATGCGGAACTTCCGAAAGTAGGAGAAGAACCCCTATGCCAAACGATCAATATGATCTTCGGGGGGGAATGAGAATAACGAGGTCACCTTTTCGGCAGCGAAAAAGACGAAAGTATCAATAAATCATAGGAAAAGACTCTGGGAAGACGATATGACTTTCACGGAGGAGGACGCATACGGATTGTTGTTGCCACACAACGATGCACTGGTAATTTCTTTAAACGTGTTAGATTTTAAGATTAAACGTGTTCTAGTAGATCGAGGAAGTTTGGCTAATATCATACAATAGAGAGTATTGGAGCAAACTAAACTCGTCGGAAGCATTATTCCGACAACAAAGATTCTCGCTGGATTCAACCTTGCAAGTGTGACGACCCGGGGAGAGGTTTTGCTGCTCACAAACGCTGAAGGAGTCATGAAAATAACTCTCTTCGAAATAGTAGATGGTGATATGGGTTACAACATTATCCTGGGAAGGCCATGGTTACACGAAATAAAAGTTGTACCATCAACATATCACCAATTACTAAAGTTTCCAACACCCGAAGGAATCAAGCAGATAAGAGGTGATCAACCGGTAGCAAGGGAGATGAATGCAATCTTAGTTTCCAGTAGCAAAGGGAAGGAACGCATGGTATAGCAATTACAGGAACCGGCACCTATTCCCGAACTAGAAGGAGTTAGCTCGAAAATAGAGATGTAAGAACAACATCAGGTGCCAAGATATTTCCAAGTTCTAGAAGAGATGAACGCAACGAAGTCCACGGCGGAGGAACTAGAGCAAGTTGCATTGTTCGAGGAATTCCTAGAAAGAAAATTCCATTTGGGGACAGGACTGCACCCGGAGCTCAGGTCTGGTTTTATTGAATTCCTTAAATTTAATGTTGATTGTTTTGCATGGTCGCACGAGGATATGAAAGGTATCCCGACGAAAATAGTCGTGCACAATCTGAGTTTGGATCCCAACATACCTCCGGTAAGGTAGAAGAAATGCCCTATTGCCGAGGCCAGGTTTATCAAAGAAGAGGTAACCCGCTTTCTTAAAATTGGTTCGGTCTGAGAGGTAAGATATCCAGACTGGCTAGCCAATGTAGTAGTAGTTCCTATGAAAAATAAATAAATTTCGCATGTGTGTAGACTATAAAGATCTTAATAAGGCATGTCCAAAAGACTCGTTCCCACTGCCAAATATCAATTAAATGATTGATGCCACGGCCGGGCACGAGTTGATGAGTTTCCTTGATGCTTATTCTGGGTACAACGAAATTACGATGAACCCGGAAGATCAGAAAAAAACTTCATTTATAACAAATTTCGGTATATATTGTTACAATGTAATACCCTTCGGGTTGAAAAGCGTCGGAGCCACTTATCAACGGCTCGTAAATAAGATAATTGAAAAGCAAATAGGAAAGACTGTGGAAGTTCATATAGATGATATGCTCGTTAAGTCTTTGAATACAGGTGACCACCTAAAGAATTTACAAGAAACATTCGACATCTTGAGGAAGCATAACATGAAACTTAACCCCGAGAAGTGCGCGTTCGGGGTCAGTTCTGGTAAGTTCTTGGGGTTTCTGGTCTCACAAAGGGGAATTGAGATAAATCCTGACAAAATCAAGGCTAGACGATATCCCGGATCAATTGTCAAACGTAAAGGAAGTCCAAAGACTCATAGGAAGGTTAGCAGCTTTGAGCAGGTTTATTTCCCAGTCGTCGGAAAAATGTCATCGCTTCTTCACGCTACTCAAAAAGAAAAATAATTTCAAATGGACACCGGAGTGCTAACAGGCTCTGAGGGACATGAAGAAGTACTTATCAAGTCCCATTGATCTCAAAATCGAAAGAAGATGAAATATTTCTAGTCTACCTCGCGGTTTCATAAGTTGCGGTAAGTGAGGTTTTAGTCCGGGAGGACGAAGGTACGCAATTTCCTATTTATTATGTTAGCAAAATTTTAACGAGAGCAGAAACTCGCTACCCACATTTGGAAAAACTGTCCTTAGCTCTCGTAGTCGCCGCTCGGAAGCTGAGACCCTACTTCCAATGTCACCCGATAGCTGTGGTGACTACTTTCCCTTTGTGGAACATCCTCCATAAACCCGAGATCTCAGTAGATTGGCCAAATGGGCCGTCGAAATGAGTGAGTTCAACATAGAATATAAACCAAGGACTGCAATTAAGTCACAAGTCTTGGATGACTTCGTGGCCGATTTCAGTCTGGGACTACTTCCTCTGGCAAGCAAGGAGGCAGTAATGGTGTCAGAACCGACATCAGGGGTATGGACCTTATTTACGGATGGAGCTTCCAACGTAAAGGGGTATGGACTCAAAATAGTCTTAATCACGCCTTTAGGGGAAACCCTAAGGCAAGTCATCAGAACGATCAATTTAACTAACAATGAAGCAGAGTATGAAGCTTTGATTGTAGGGCTCGAATTGGCCCCGGGACTTGATTTCAAGGTTATTGAAATTAAATATGACATGCAGCTGGTGGTAAATCAGGTCTGTGGGATCTTTGATACCAAAGAAGAACGTATGCAACAATACGTGGTAAAGGTCTAGGCTCTTTTGGCGCAATTTCGGTAGTGGTCAATCACTCACATCCCGAGGGACGATAATGCAAAAGCGGATGCATTAGCAAACTTAGGATCATCGACAGGAATAAAGGGATCAGAATCTGGAACGGTAGTACA